GCCTTTGGCTGCTCACGACATCGGCGTTGTCACTTCTGCCACGGCCACAGAATTACGGAGTCGGCGAGCCGATGGATGTCTACTTCAAGTTTGTGTAACTTGATGCAGCGGAGAGTGGCTTGTTTGCAAAAGGGCTGGGATGCGTCTTCGTGGCGCATGCCACCAACACAGACCCTGGTGCCTTTTTAGTTAGCGGCCAGTTACCCAGACCTTGCACAAAAACAAGGAAGATTCTCACTATTTATTCATTTAAAACCTTTATATAATAGTAACAATCACATGCTGTCAAGTCCATTCTGACTTATGGCGATCCTTTCCAGGGGTTTTCCAGGCAGAGAATCTTCGGAAGTGGTTTGCTATTCCCTTCTTCTGGGAACACCCTGGAGCTGTTTGGCTTTCCCAAGGCTACACACAGGAAGGCCTTTCCGTGGGGAATTGAACTCACAACTTTTGGCTCTGCAGCCAAAGACCTGAATCAATGAGCTATCCAGCCAGCTAAAAAAACATTAGTCGTTAAGTTGTGTCCGACTCTTCGTGACCCCATGGACCAGAGCACGCCAGGCCATCCTGTCTTCCACAAGTTGGGTTAAAGTCATGTTGGTCACTTCGATGACCCTGTCCAACCATCTCCTCCTCTATCGTCCCCTTCTCCTCTTTCCTTCACACTTTCCCAACATCAAGGTCTTTTCCAGGGAGTCTTCTCTTCTCATGAGATGGCCAAAGGATTGGAGCCTCAGCTTCAGGATCTGTCCTTCCAATGAGCACTCGGGGTTGATTCCCTTCAGAATGGATAGGTTTGTTCTCCTTGCAGTCCAGGGGACTCTCAAGAGTCCTCCTCCAGCACCACAATTCAAAAGCATCGATTCTTCGGTGGTCAGCCTTCTTGATGGTCCAGCTCTCACTTCCATACTTCGCTTCTGAAAAAACCATAGCTTTTTGACAATGCGGACCTTTGTCGGCAAGGGGATGCCTCTGCTTTTTAAGACGCTGCCTGAGATCTTGTGATGTAGGGTGGTCTATAAAAAAAACATTCATAGGCCACCTTACATCATAAGATCTCAGGCTGGGTTACAGAACTGAAAATAAGTATCTGAAGGCATAAAATCTTTAAAACTACTTAATTAGTCTAACAATTTTTTAAAAAAAATTGTATTAAAGCCTGCGCAGGCCCTAGTAAATAATCATGTTTTGACCTGATGCTGAAATGATGCCAACGCTGGCGCCCATTATGTCTCAGATTCCCCCCCTCCAGGGGACTACAGCTGAGAAAGCCCCTCCCCCCCATGGCTCTACATAAGGAACCGCTGTCTATGGTGGGATGTGAACTGCTGGAGATCTCAGTGGTTAAGGCATCCAGCTGCAAAGCCAGAGGTTGGGAGTTTGATTCCCCACAGTGCCTCCTTAACTGGGGCTGGACTGGATGACCTCTAGTGTCCCTTCCCGCTTTGCCGTTCTAAGATCTAATGAACAACGGAGGGCCTCCCTGGCAGCTCTTGGTGATTGGACAGATCTACATGGCATGAAGATGTGGCCGAAGTGGCCACGGAAGCGATGGGGTGCCGGCAGTAAGAAGCGAAGTCCCGTTACCAGTCCCACCTTCCCCCCCCCCCTCCCTGGAAGTCCCAAATCCTTTCCAGACTTCTTTCCCAGCCACTGACAAGGGCCAAATTCCGACCGGAGAGAGAGACCCCGTCAAGGTCTTCCCAGAACCGTCTCCTCTTGAAGGACCCCCCCCCCAATGACAGGCATCTCTATGCAAAAGTCTCCCCCCCATCCCTCCCTGCCATGGGGGGGCACCAGCCTCAAAACCCCCCCCTTTTGCCCCCCGCCGTCCTTGAACAGCTCACGACATCACAAAGGCCACGCCAGCCAGGGGCCCGGCATGGCAACCTGCAGCACTTTTAAAAGAGAATTAGCAGTTTTAATTATAGCCCTCGCCTGAAAGGGAGCCCGGTGGCGCGTCTTTTGATCAAGGGCTTCGGCGGGCACAATGGTGCGGAACTGGGGCTATCCCTCATGAGGGGGAAAAGGAGAGGGGGGCTCTCTTTTTTTTCCACCCCTGAATAGCTTGCCCGTGATCTTTGAATGCAGGCGAGCTCCTAAATCTTCCCACTTCATTAAGGAGACATTTCTATACATGGGCCTATACAGTCCAGGAGCTATACAATTAAAAAGGAAAACAGAAACCCTACAGATGCGGGCGGCTACTTAGGAAGTGCTGAAGGGCCCAGAGTGACTTAATTCATTAAAACAGGTTGCTATTAATTAGCTGTCATAATCAAATAAAGAGCCATTATTTGCATTTCTTAATGTGGCCCGTAGGCAAAGGGAGGGAGCGCGAGGGGAGAAGGGGGGAAGAATCCCGCTCGAAAAGAATTTTATTTCAAGGGGAAGTAATGCACCGAAGAGAAAGGGCAGAAGTGGGTGGCGGGAGGGAAGATGCTAAAATGTTTTCTGGCAAATCATGAACATCGCCATCCCGGCCCAAATGTCCCCCGGAGTCAATATATGGGCTGTGGGTTCGGTACCTAAATACAAGGACCCTGTAGGTAAAGAGAACATCGATTTTAAAAGTTTAGATCAGAAATTGAGAAAATATGAAGCCGTGTTGGTCTGGCAAGCATTTTGCAAGACGGGGATTAAACCAACAGTTCGTCCTTCTCTTCCTCCCAAACATTTTCTTGAGAAACTATACAGGGGCTGCAATACAGCAAACAAAATTAAACGCGTGCTGGTCAGCCCATTCCCCATTTCCCTCGTTTATGCCCGTGCCCCTAAAAAGATTTGGATTTAACACCCTCAAGCCATTTTACAAAAAACAGACAAGGGAGCGGCTTCAAAATTTTGTTTCCTGCAAACTTCGAAGGTTGCAAAATAAAGTCTAGGGATCATGCTACACCTTATTTTAATGCAAACTATTCACTCCTGGAAGTTTCCACCAGCAGAAGCTGACTCTTTTTATTATTATTAAAAAGCAAAATTTGGCAAGAGACACAGCGTGGGGGGTTAGCAGGGGGAGTGTAGAAGGCACCTGCAAAGTAAATGGCATGAACCCTTAAGTAACTTCGACGCTCTATATAGCGGAATCTGTTCTTGCTGACGGCTTGACTTACAGACTTTTGGAGTTACAGACTTCTCTGGCCGCAAAATTTAGGTTTGACTTGCAGCCTGAGAATTGACTTACAGACCAGAAAAAAACCAAAATGGAACAAAAACGGCCTGTTACGGGATTAATCGGTTTTCAATGCACTGTAGGTCAATGGAGACTTGACTTACAGACTTTTTGACTTGAGAACCGCCTTCCAATACGGATTAAGTTCTCAAGTCAAGACCCCACTGTATAGCGGAATCTGTTCTTGCTGCAGTTCTTTCAGTTATGGTCGTTATCTCCCGATCTGTTATTTTGATATGTATGACCTTGATAATAAAGGTTAGTGTGAACGCGATGTTTCAGTGGTGCAAATTAAGAAGCCGGGTCATCTCCAAGCAGAACTTTTGAACGCCTGCCTGTATGCAAAACCGCCCTATAGCTGGGGGTGGGTGGGGGGAATCTCCCCAGTGGGAAGGCCCTGCTGGTGGTGACGGAAGATCAAATTTCCTCCTCCCTTAAGACACCCTTGGTTTCTAGGCATGCTTACCTCCCATTTGGGCAATCAATGAAAGGGACAGTGCTGAGCCTGCAGGATAAGACCGTGAAAGTACAGAGGAGAGCAGCCTGTTTTATTTCATCTTTCAGGAGTGAGGACTGCAGAGATTCCGAGTGGAGTCACAGTTTTGGAAAATCTCCTGGCTGCCGCTGACTATACCGTTCCTGTGCGTCGCTTTCTCACTCTGCCCACCCCTGATGTGCAGCTTCACATGTTCTGGACTGTGACGTCACCGTGTCACCTCCTTCCCAGCCACTGATTGTTGGGATCATGTCGTTGGCCATGAGTTGGCCAACACCAACATGGCAAGCCAACTAAAGTAACTAATTAAGGAAAGAGGGCGCTGGGATGTGGTTGGTTGTTGATGTTGCTTAGTCATTAAGTCATGTCCGACTCTTCATGACCCCATTGACCAGAGCACGCCAGGCCCTCCTGTCTTCCACTGCCTCCCGGAGTTGGGTCAAATTCATGTTGGTTGCTTCGGTGACACCATCCAACCATCTCGTCCTCTGCCGTCCCCTTCTCCTCTTGCCTTCACCCTTTCCCAGCATCAGGGTCTGTTCCAGGGAGTCTTCTCATGAGATGGCTAAAATATTGGGGCCTCCGCTTCAGGATCTGTCCTTCCATGGTGGTCGGTACCCCCCCCCCCCATAATTTCCTCCTCACTCAAAGATACCCTTGGCTTCTAGGCACACTTCCCTCAGCTTCAGGATCTGTCCTTCCATGGTGGTACCCCCTCATAAGTTCCTCCTCACTCAAAGACACCCTTGGCTTCTAGGCACACTTCGACAATTCAATGCACGAACTCAACGCAATCCATGCAATTGCAACCTTCCCTGTTTCGTCTACGATGGGAAACGTCTCTGTCCAAAGATTTTCAAGTGCTAGAACTCCCCTGATTCAGATGTCACCTGGTTTAAGCCTCTGCAATGCGGGGAAAGATGCTTTCCAACTTTGCTTAGCGCAGTTCCTGCACGCAGTTGGAACCCTGGTGATTCTGCAATGAGAACGCCACAACCCATGGAGAAGTTGGAGAGGGCATTCATATATTTGATATCCTTCCATGCCACTGTTTAGGTAACCGTCTCTTATAGCAGTTACTATTTTAGATGAACGTTCCCCAGTCTTCTCTAGGTTGATCTACCCTGTTCTTTACGGGCTCATTGAAATGAGGTAGAAAAAGAGCTTTAAAATGTTCCTTTATTGGACTACACCAGCTGGCTGGATTACTCCGTGGTTCAGGTTTCTGGGCTGTGGAGCCAGAGGTTGGGTGTTCGATTCCTCCCTGGGCCTTCCCGGGAGAAAAGCCAGCCCGGGTGACCTTGAGCCAGCTGCACATCTCCAGACCACCACCAGAAGAAGGGAATGGGAAATCCCTTCTGAGTATTCTCTACCTGGGAATCCATAAAAAGGGTTGCCGTAAGCCCGAATTGACACGAAGGCACAAGATTATTATTGGACTACAACTCCCAGAATCCACCCCCCAAGTCTGCAAGAGGTTTTCATTGTTTTCCCCTCCAGTTTTTTCAACCGGTGGTTTGCCGCTCTCTCATTTCCTCCTCCATCTGCTGGAAGTGGCTCCCTGTAAAGTCATCCTAGGTCTGCCGTCCGCTTCTCCCTTTCTTTATTCTTCTCAGGTCCCGGAGTTCTTTCTTCAGGTGGTTCACAGCCTGCAAAATCTGCCTGTGCTGAGGATCGTCTGCCACCTTTTCTGTATAAAGGAGGAAATGCTTTATGGTTTCGGACAGCAGTTTTTCCGGATCCTCTCTTTGGGGTTGCAAACGCAGCATCCGCTCGCAAGCAATGGCATAGTTCTTGTGCCAGTTTGCTGGGTGAGTCTCGTTCGCGCCCACCATGTCCTGGTACAACTGCGAAGAAAACGGAATTGAGAACACAGTTTTGAAGACCGTGCTAGCTCCAGGAAGGTCAACAGCATAGGCATGGGACAGGCCATGAACTGATTTTATTTATCATACATGTTTCATTCTTTCTTTAATATTTTTATACTTACTATTTTTTAGCTTTCGAATGTTGCCTTTTAATTCTTGCAAGCCACCTTAGATCCTTTTAAGTAGAAAGGTGGGGTAAAAATATTTTGAATAAATAAACAATGGATAAATCATTTTGGGTAAAAATATTTTGAATAAATAAATAATGGATAAATCATTTCTCTGCCATTGTGAATGAATAGTCCTTTTTTTAAAAGAAAAAGTCATGCTCGACATAGAAAGCATCTAGGGAAACAGAGCATTTGTTAAAAACTGCACATAAATTTGGCTGTTTCCACAGAATAAAACAGATTCGCAATGCAACTTCTTGATATAACTTCATGGGGACTTAACTCTCAAATAAATGACAATTCGCTTTTTGATTTTCAGGGGGGGAAATCAGCCGTGGGATAGAGGAGATTACAGAAGCATCCTTCCCACTGAACAGGAGTGTGGAATAAGATATTTCACGCATAGAGAGGGTGAATTCTCAGACAACGGCTGCAATCCTGTTGAATAACTACACCTGCATAACTCAAGCTTACATAAGCAGTAATAAGCACTGCATGTAGGTCTAAATGTTATTTACAAAGCAATTCTGTACAGCTCAGTGATTTCAATATCTGGTTTTGGAGCCAGAGGTTGGGAGTTTGCCTTCAGGGTGGAGAGCCAACCTGGGTGGCCTTGGACCAGCTGCAAAGTCACAGGGAAGGGAAGGGTAAACCCTTTCTGAGTACCCACTAATACCTAGAAAAGGGTCACTGTAAGTCAGAATTAATTTGACAGCATATTATTATTATTATTATTATTATTATTATTATTATTATTACTACTACTACTACTACTACTACTACTACTACTACTACTACTACTACTACTACTACTACTACTACTACTACTACTACTACTACTACTACTACTACTACTACTACTACTACTACTACTACTACTTATTACTATTACTATTACTATTACTATTACTATTATTATTATTATTATTATTATTATTATTATTATTAGTAGTAGTAGTAGTAGTAGTAGTAGTAGTAGTAGTACTGTATTCTCAAAGACTTTTAATGGAAAAGGACAAAAGCAGATCCCACAGCTACAAATACTCAACTATCCCACAGACTGCACCAGAGCACAGACAGAGTTCTGACTCCTGTCCTCTGAAGACGCCGTCCCCACAGAGACTGGTGAAATGTCAGGAAGAACAACCTTCAGAATACAGCCAAAGAGCCTGAAAAACCCGCAACAACCATCAGATCCCGGCTGTGAAAGCCATCAAGAATATATCCAAACAAATTGCACCAGACTGCTAAGCCAGTTTGATATCGGACAAAAAATGGGCAAGGACAGAGACTTGTGGAAGAGGAAGAGGGGAGCCCAGGAATGGAAGACGGAGAGGGGAGGAGAAGGGCAGGAAAGACAGGAAATGATGTCGAGTACAAGGAAAGCTACAGGGGGGAAACTGAGAGGAAAGGAAAGAGAGAAGCCAAAGGATTTTGGTGGAGGAAAGCGGAAAGGACACCTCTGATTTGAAAGAACCATCAGAGTGATCTGAAAGTACAACCGCAGAATAAAAGATCTGCACATCAGAAATGTCTGCAAATCATGTCAGCTGTATTCTCGGGGATATCTACGCAACATCACTATAGCACTCCCATGCCCCTCGCTCCATAGGCACAGATCCATTCCGCCCAATCCTAGCATTTTGAGTCTGTTGAGGACAGGAATCTTCCCTGTCTGAAAACTCTTGCAGACTCCCCTGAACTGCAGCAGAGATTTGGAAGGAGCTCCCCAAACTGCAAACTTCGGGATTCCCACACCCTGGGACTGTGCCGTTAAAGACAGGATCAAATGATGGTAACTGGAAAAGGTACACTCCTAGATCGACATATATCCTGCTCAAATCTAGAGAAGGTGAGATCATTCCCTAACCTGTGGCCCATATACAGCACTAGAGATAGGCACGAACTGGTTTGTGATTGTTCGCGGCTAACCACGAACGCCCGGAATGGTTTGTGGTTCGTTTTTTCGGTTCGTGCCCGGGAGGGCTCTATCTTGTTCCTGTTGCTTCTGCCGAGGTGGGCACAGGCTCAGAAGCAGCCTCAGGATGGCACAGCCAATGGTGGCAGAGATCGCTGGAGCAGGGAGGTGGAGAAGACGGGGCAGCGCGGGGGGGGAGGCATACCCTTTAACCAAAGCAAACAAAACACTGAAGAGAAAAAAAAAACATTTTCAGGATCAAAAGCAAAAAGCAGGGCAGAAGCCTTCAAAGAAGTGAGCATCTAATCAGGGTGGCATTTCCAACCCGTCCAAGGAATGAAAATTCTTACGCTGTAAGCAGCGGTGTAAAGTTCTGCTTTGACCTCTGCAGAGACAGAAGCAGTTTCCGCAAGGTTGAAGATAAAGAAGGCTGTTTTCATCCTGCAGAAAGAGAAAAACATGTTGTACATTTATTTAAGGGCTTTTTATGCTGCAAGCAGAAACTCTGCAGTGGGGTTATCCAGACTTCTGAAAAGCTACCTTTTTGGACTACAACTACCAGAATCCCCTCGCTCCCCACTGGCATGGTATGCCCCCACCCCCGGGACATGATTCATGCTGGCTGAGAGATTCTGGGACTTTTACTCCAAGAATTGCTGGATAGCTCAGTGGTTTAAGTCTCTGGCTACGGAGCCAGAGGTTGGGGTCCCTTCCAGTGCTGCTGTTTGAAGATTTAAGTGATGCCTCGACTTACGACCCTCCCAACTTACGACCATTTTGAGTTACGACCAGCTCCAGCTGCAAAATTTTGCTTCGACTTGCGGCCGGAGCTTCGAGTTACGATCGGAAAAAACGTGGAGAAAAAGGCAGGGAATTCGAATGTACTAACCACTGGTCGGCGAAGAGGCTGCTTCTTTGTAGTTCTTTCGCCCCAATGGTTAGAGTGAATGTGTCAAAGGAGGCTTCGGCTGCCTGGAGCTGCTTTTTGCTCCTGGGCGAGTACAGGGTTTTGCAGGGTGGATTTCGGCTGGGGGTGTGTGTGCTATGTTTCTGTGTTGTGATTTTTTTGTGTTTTGGTGTGTTTGTTTTGTCAGCCCCAGTGCGCTCCGATGGGGCTTGCTGTGTTTGGTGTGTTTTTGGGAGGGGGCTTGCGATTTTTCCCCTGGCCCCAACACGTTCTGATGGGGCTTGCAGTGCTTTTTATTGTTGTTGTTGTTTGTGATTTTTTTTCTGGCCACAACAAATTAATAGGGTTTCAATGCATTCCTATGGGAATGCGTGCTTCGATTTACGACCATTTCGATTTATGACCATCATTCCGGAACAGATTAAGTTTGTAAGTTGAGGCACCACTGTATTATGAAATACATTTTTCAGAGCTATGGTGTCAATCAGAAAGAAGGTTGGGTCGTCTCTGGATCGGTTCCTTGCAAAATGTGTACATTTTTTGTCTCTTATAATCTGTATGTTCTAGACCAGTCGTCTCCATCATTGGATAACCCAGTTGTTCTTGGACTGCAATTCCCAGAAGCCTTCCCCACTCGCTGTGCTGGCCAGAATTTCTGGGAGCTGCAGTCCAAGAACATCGGGAAACCAAAAACATTGGGAGACCCACACTGATCTTGTGTTTTTGAGACCCAAGGTTGGGAACCACTGATCTTGTGTTTTCGTAGTTTTAACAATAGGGCACGACATTCCACTGTCGACGTTCTTCTGCTCCTCCTCCAGATGTCCCACTGTATTCTCTCCCTCGGTCACAACGGGACAGGCACAAAGTTACACATGGACTTTCCCCATCTCTCCAGGACAGGGGTTCCCAAACTGTGACTTTTGTGGGGCACCTGGGAACCAAACCAAGAACATAGAGCTATGAAAGTCGTACAGGAGCTTTAGGAACCCAAGTGGAAGCCACGTGACTGCCTGTCTCTCCTTTCCTCCACCTCCCCATGGTGGAGGCCCTCGCCCGATGGCCTGTGTCATGACCTGGAAGGAGGCACACCCTCGGGGATCTTTGGGCGAGGGGAGATGGGATGGCTGAGAAGGAGGGGTGTCAAGATTCTGCCCCTGGTTGCCATGAGAGTGTCCTGATGACCCTTCCGAGCAAGGGGAGCCACAGCCAGTGGCCAGTAAATCAAGGGAGCTGCGAATCCAAAGACCCTTCCGAGCAAGGGGAGCCACAGCCAATGGCCAGTAAATCAGGTTTTGAGACCCACTGCTTTCGGCCACCCTCCAGAGGTCCCGGGGGGGGGACCTTTTTGTTCTGGTCATACCGGAGCTGGCTCTCACCTGGCTTGCCACATCTCTTCGTTGGCCACCGATTCCCACGAAGAGGGATCAAACCTTTAAAAAAGAAAACACCACATAAATAGCGGGAGAAACTGCCCTGATGCCAATCACTCAGAAAGTTCATTATGAAGCCATGAGCCTGCTGTGCTTCCTTCTCTCCCACTGCTGCTCTAGTAAGCTGGGAAAATGGGAAGGTTCTGGATAGAGCAGATATACAGTCAACCCTCGACTTACGAACGGCCCTAGTTACGAACATTTCGACTTACGAACCACTCTGATAGGAAAATATGGACTCGACTTGCAAACTTGGATTCGAGTTACAAACGGAAAAAAGTGCAGGGAAGGCAGGGAAAGTGGGAAATTTGAACTTTCAGAGGCTGCTTGTCTGCTTCCTCGCTCGTCCAAGCAGTTAGAGAGTGGGAAGAGAGACCTGGGAGTGCCTGGTATTGTCATTTTTAAATGTAAAATTTAGTTTAAAAGGTGCTTTGTTTGGTTTAAACGGTGCTTGGGTAAAAGACAGTTAAAACCTGCTTCGGTAAAAACGTGCTTTGTTGCTTTAAAAACTGCTTGTTTTGATTTAAAAGGTGTTTGGTTGAAAAAGTGCCTGTTTTGGTGTAAAAGGTGCTTGACTTTAAAAATGTTCTTTTTAAACAGTGTTCGTTCGTTCCCTCCGTGATTTCTTGCCTTTTTTAACCTACGCCATTTTAGGTTTAAAAAAAGAGAAAAAAATCTGTGTTCTTTGATTAACTGGCTTTGCATTAGTTCCTATGGGAACTTATGCTTCGATTTACAAACCGCCCCTCGACCTAAGAACCAAAAACAGCCGGAACGGATTAAAGGGTTTTCAATGCATTCCTATGGGAAATGCTGATTTGAGTTACGAACTTTTCGACTTACGAACGTCCTTCCGGAACAGATTAAGTTCGCAAGTCGAGGGTTGACTGTAAAGCTCTTCCCGGTTCACACACATACACAACTGCACACACTACAGCACTGACGGAGGAGCAGGAAGACCCCGTGGTCGGACATATTCCTTTCTTTTCTAAGACATCCTAAGGTCCTGAAATCTTTTATCTATTACAAAAGATTCCCTTCCTCCCTTTCCAAAAAAGTTGTTCCCCATTTCAACTCCATCAAGAGGAATATCAGGCAATCCAGAGTCCGAACGGCCTCTTCCGTTGGACGTGGCTGGACGGGCCACGGACTGCGGCTCATTTGATCGGACGCTTTCGTCACATTGCCAGCTCTAAATCCATGAAAAACATCCGCCATGGAAAAAGCGGGTAGCCTTCAAGGAACCACCAGACTCTCTTGGGTGGTTTTGCTCCAGCAGACACACACAGCAACCATCACAAGATTTAATCTTATCGCTCAGCTCCTAGGAAATCTACCCAAGTCCAGCTCTGCAGGTTTGTGCTTTTTGGACTACAAACCCTATCATTCCCCAGCCAGTGGCCGTGATTGTTTTAGAGAATAAGACACAAACCTCCACAGCTCTGATAAGGGCTTTTACTGTTGAAAACAATAAAAGAGACATTATGCTAAGGAGTGACCTTGGGTCATTCAGTCAGTCTTTCTCTCTCTATTTCTCAGTCTGATCTCCCTCACAGGACTGTTGTGAGATAAAACAGGGACGAGAGCCACGTATCCCATCTTGAACTTCTTCCAAGCCGCCATGAACTTGTTGTATATTTTTGTACAGCCTTGCATGCTGCTTAGTGAAGGCATGGCTAGGAGGGACTCTTATGGGTGGGAGTGACTGTCAATCTAGTCAGCCCTAACCAATCGTTCCTTCCTACCTCTGAATACAAAGAGAGCCCCGCCTCTCTGTTCTGTGTCTCTTCCTTTCCCTCTCTTTCAGTCCACTGAAACCGGTTTGCTGAAAGCAGCCATGTGGGTCAGTTTGCTTACTGTAAGTAAACTTTTTTTAAATTACTTCTCTTATAGATGTCTGAAGAGTGAGTTGCTGAGACTATAAGTGCCAGTTGATGAGAAAAGGAGTGGACTACTCTGGGGGGGGGAACTTGCAACTATTCTGCTCTGTCAATCCCTGCACTTCTGCTGAGCCATTAAGAGGGATTTAACAAAAAAAAAAAAAATTCAAAACTCTGCAACGGAATTCCGCACCACTTACCTCCCATACTCCTCGCTCCAGTTATAAAGATTCTGGGTACGACTGATCCAGCCTCTGGGATCAAAAGGAACCCTTGAAGGGACAAGTTTATCGCAAGAGCCCCACGGCCAAAGAGAATAGTCTTTCTTCCAGGTGGGGTCACCTTCGTGAAGCCCGATGCAGACAAAGGTTTCCTTGCTGTTGCAAAGAGCAAACAGACGATAAATAAACAGGCAAAACAAGCAAATCTAAACAACAGCATTGGTAAATTTACACTCGTTTTGAGTTATTGTAAAAGTGACTGGCATGCGGAAAAGCCACACCCATGTTCTATTTTTTTCCTATGGCTGCGAGGTTTAATTAATTATAAGGAATCAGAAGCTCAATAATAATTACATTATCATCCATACTTATACCCCACCTTCCCTCCAACGATCTCAAGGCCGTATAAACGGCTCTCCTCCTTTCATCCTCACAACATTCTTGTAAGGTAGAACTTGATATACAAACACAGATTTATGTTTCACCCTTTCTTCTGAAACTGAGCTTGGCAAGGCACAAAAAATTAAAAAGCAGAAACAGGTAAGAAACCTCTCAAACGATCATACTGAAACATGTGTGAGTTAAAAGCAATTTAGAAACACAGTTTTTTTAAAACACACACACACACCTACTCCTTAAAAGTTCCTTGCTCATCAAGCAGTCTGTGTCGATAAACCCGTTTTGAAACACTGGCTTGTAATCTCTCCGGGACGGTTTTATGGGTTACGTGGGCACGATCCCCAACAATCTCAGCCTATGACCTACGGCATATGGTTGGGATAGCTACAGGGCTTGGAAACGTTACTCTGTGGGGGGGCAATCTCAGCCTATGACCTACGGCATATGGCTGGGATAGCTACACAGCTTGGAAACAGTACTTGGTGGGGGGGGACACTACAAATCCCAGAATCCTGCAGCTGAGCAGAACAAACCCAAGCCAGGTAAAAGCTGCAGTCTGGGCTTCCTATGGAGGGGACTCCATGATCCTGCTTCTACAAGGGGGGAAAACCTTGCTTGATTATGAGATGACAGAGACTAGAATTTATTATAGTTTCTAATAATCAAAGGGGTTTTGGAAACCAGGGGTTCATCTAGAGCAGTGGTTCCCCATCTTGGGTCCCTCCCTCCCTTCCCAGGTGTTCTTGGACTGCAACTCCCAGAAACTTTTCCTACCAGGTGTGCTGGCCAGGATTTCTGGGAGTTGTAGTCCAAGAACATCTGGAGACCCAAGGTTGGGAACCATTGGTGTAATATATCCAAATTTTAAGAGGGGAAAAAAGGAAGGGACATCAGTGCGGCTGAGTGGTTAGAGTTTGGAGCGAGGGCTTAGAAGACAGTGTTAGGCCCCACTGGGTTACGAAACGCACCCGATGACCTCGAGTGGTTTATTCTTTCTCAAGCTGATCTACCTCACAGGGATGTGGTGGGGGTGAAATGGGGAAAATGAAAGCCATCCGCAGTAGGGGAAATAATGAGCCTGGAGCAGACTGGAGAACAGCACAGAAATGTTAACGAATACAGTCGTGCCCTGCTGGACGATTACCCCGCTGTACGACGAATCTGCTTTACGTCGACATTTTCGCTGTGCGAACCTATTTTCGCTTTATGAGAATACAGTCGTGCCCTGCCGTCGGGTTTCAAAATGGCCATCGGCTGAAGAAAATGGTCCCCCGCTGTTTTCTAGGACGGATTCCTCGCTTTACAGGCACCGAAAATGGCTGCCGTATGGAGGATCTTCACTGGACAAGCAGGTATTCAGTCCATTGGAATGCACTGAACAGTTTTCAATGCGTTTCAATGGGTTTTTAAATTTCATTTGACGACATTTTTGTTCTACAGCGATTTCGCTGGAACGAATTAACGTCATCAAGCGTACATAATCCTCCCATGGAACTCTATGAGGGAAGCTGGTCACGTCGTCAAGCGAGGCACCACTGTACATAATCCCCCCATGGAACTCTATGAGGGAAGCTGGTTTTGGCACACAAAACAAAAAGCTCCTTAAGAGCCCCAGTTTTAGAAAATATCTTGTGCAAAAAAAGGGGGTGCTTACTGTTTATTTACTTTGAGAAAATGACGGAGATTAAACGTGGCAGTGCCATCCGGTAACAGCGCCTCCACGGGATTCCATCGGTCACCAGGGAAGATGACGCCGGGCAAATGCTTCGCCAGCTTTGGTAAGTACCAAGGGTAAGTCATCATCTGGCACAGACAAGAAGAGCACAGTGACTTTCTTTCTTTAAGATATTTCTCTAAGAAACCACCCTTCAGATGGCAGGGCGTATGCACAGCCCAGATATCTGTCTGTGTAAAACACCATGTGCCAAAACTAGACACACGGACGGACGTCTGGACTGTGCAGCTTACAACCTTTGGTGGCGGGGGTGGATAGGGGGGAGGTTCAGGGAACAGATCTGTGTAACAGATGTGGGTGCAAACTGTTGGCCTGATGGCTGTGACCAACATGTTTTCTTCAACAGGATCCTGCCCAAAATGTGAAAGACTGAAATGTGTACTTCAAATTGGGGGCTAGAAAGCAAAATTTTCCATCCAGTCATCGGCACAACCTCCTAGATCTCATGTCTTTCTGTAAAAACCCTGATGTACTTCCAACTAAAACTGCCTTTGCCTTTACCTCTCTCTCCCTTTCCCCTACCTCTCTCTCCACGCTGATGGCTAGCTCCTTTGTAATCTGTTTAGAGACTGGAAACTCCTTGGGGAAGGAACCTGCTCTCCACTACTTTGCAAAGTTGCAGGCACACTGATGACCCTATACAATGAAATACATAGTTAAACTGACAAGAGCAGGCAAGCATCTGAGATGGAGAGAAAACAGCTTGCTTGGAGGGTTCACAGCAGACCAGACTTCTGTGTATGACCCAAGCCTTCTCCAACATCCTGCCTTCCAGATACAGGGGCTGAATGGTGGACTGAGTCTTGCACATGGTTGAGACTGCAGTTTAATTTTCTTTCTTTTGTACTTCTGACTGTAACTGAAGATCACAACTGTAAGTAAAGATACCTTTTCTATGTAATTTGCTTTTAGAGATTTTTATTATGCAAAGTGCTGGTTGCTGTGAAAGGAGGGGCAGTTTTGAGACGAGCTATTCTCTTATGCTTTCTCTGTGTGGTTGTTTGTACTTTTAGATTCTACAGAACACACATCTCAAAAGAACTACCAGTCCCATGAACCAGTAAAGTTCCCATGGAATTATTCTCTTATGCTTTCTCTGTGTAGTTGTTTGTACTTTTAGATTCTATAGAACACACATCTCAAAAGAACTACCAGCCCCATGAGCCAGTACAGTTCCCATGGAATCCTGCCACTCCCAAGAACCAATGACCGTTTCCTTGTTCTTCAAAGGCACAAAGTACCAACACAGAAGTATGTGAAGTAATGAAAACTGTTCTGCACATTTTCCCCCTTTTCTTTTCTTTTCTTTACTTTTTGGCTGCAGCTCCCAGAATTTGGCCAAGGATGTTGCAGTCCAGAAAACGGACAAGTCTCAATTCTTAACATGTAGATTTCCAAAATCTATGATCTATGATTTAACAGTCAACAGGCAGAGTTCTGCTGGCGAAAACTGGATCAGGAGAGCAGGAAATAATGCACGTACATTTGAACCTTCCTTCCCCTCCATTTCCCAAGGCTCCAGAGGTTAGGACAAAGGCCGTTAAAAGTGTCACTGAACTGCTTTTTAGGTGTAAATGCAGGGAGCACTGTATGATTCTCTGCCCAACCAGACTGATGGCTGGAAAACTCACCGGGGAGCGGATGTCAGCAGCTGCCCTGCCCTGACGTTGTGGCTCTCCCTCATCTGCAGCGTGTCGGGTGCTCAGGGCGGCATCCAGTCCCCAAACCCCTAAAAAACCTCCCATTCCCCATGCCTTACAAGTTCGCTGTTGCTCTACCTCTTGATCCACTAAGGTGATGTTGGGTCTTACTCCTTCGCAGTAGTGAAGGTAACGAAGCGCATTGCCCGGCAGGTCTCCTCGGAGCAAGACGATGGCATCCGGAGGCATGGAGAAGAGGAGGTTCTTTGCAAAACGCTCCACAACATCGTTATGGCTTTGGTCACAGACCCTGGTGAGACCGGAAGGGGGGAGGGGTGAAACTGCATATATAAAAACGGATTTAGCTTTCAAATACTTTTAGGGACTGCTTTAGAAGGGGTGTGGCCAAAAAGGCTGTTTTGACTCTAGATTTTTCGTCAGGTTCAACACAAAAACCCTGACTTCGTTTTCCTACATGGCCGCGTCTCAGGAAATATTGCTCATCCCTGTATGTTACAAAAATATGGTCAGATGTCAGCACCAAAGCATTTTTTTTTAAAAAAAAGTGAAGTGTGTTGCTCAGATGTCACCCAATAGTGCTTAAAACATTTTCTGGGGGGTTTACAACTTAATTATGCAGGCAACACATTTCTGCCCCCCACAGCAAGCTGGGTACTCAATTTACCAACGTCAGAAGGATGGAAGGCTGTGTCAAATGCAGGCTAATTGAGCCTGCTGGGATCAAACTCAGGTGGCAAGCAGAGTCTTGGCTGCAGTACTGCAGTTTAACCACTGTGCCATGAGGCTCCTTATATCAGAGCTCATAGGGGTGTTATGAGGATAAAGCAGAGTGAAACACAGCCCTGAGCTCATAAATGTTTGTCCATTGCTTATTGGACCCCATCCAAGGTGTTGGCTTTAGCCTTTAAAGCCCTAAAGGCCGTGTGGGTCTGGCTATTTAAAGCTGGTGAGAACGGAGGGGGGGAGGGGTGAAATTGCACATATAAACGTATTTACCTTTCAGATACTTTTACGGACTGTTTTAGAAGGGGTGTGGCCAAAAAGGCTGTTTTGACACTAGATTTTTTTGGCAGGTTCAACACAACAACCCCGACTTCATTTTCCTACATGGCCACGTTTCAAGAAATACATCAAGGTTGGGGACCACTGCTCTAAAGGACCACCTGGTCTTGTTACAAGTCACTCCAGAAGTTGAGATCTTCCAAAGAGGTTCTCTTAAGAACACAACCTGGGAAAAGTTGTCCACACAACCACCAAACAAGCACACGGGAGAGGGGTTTCTCCTGTATGTCTTCCAGACTGTAGAATCCACTGCCTTTGGAGTTGTCACCCATTTCCACTCTGAACTGATTTTAACAAGGGTGTAAAAACATAACTTCTTAGCCTTCTCGTACAACGTCTGCCTTGGCTGTCCTGAATTTCATGATTTCATGGTTAAACTTGGTTTTAGTTGTTTTTATTCTGTTACGAAGATTGTCAGACGCCTTCAGCACTACTTTCTAGTGGAGCACATAGGGGTAGCAATGTAACAAATAAATCAGTAATAGGTTATAGCAACCGCAAGAGAAAACTGCAGCAAAAAAACCCACCCCAAACAAATATGATGAACACAGGAAAACAGTACTTCATCCCTCAGTTACTGGCGTAACTTAGTTCTAAAAGTAAATTAAAAGCTGTATCATCACACCAGAACAATTTAGGGCCTCATTAGATGAAGACACCGATTCTCAGCATAGTGTTGTGGTTCCCAACCTTGGGTCACCCAGGTGATCTTGGACTACAACTCCCAGAAACCCCGGCCAGCGCAGCTAGTGGGGAAGGCTTCTGGGAGTTGTGGACAGAAGGTTGGGAACGAGAGGTGGGCAGGAATCGCTGATTTTGGTGGTTCATGCTGGTTCGGCCGCCAGGGATTTCTAAAAGGACAAGATGCCATGGTGTCCTGGTTAGAGCGATGAGCCAAGGTGGAGTTGACTCGGGTTCAAATCTCTCCTTGGCCATGTACGTAGTTTCCCAGAGAACCTAGGCCAGACGCCCTCTGTCCATGCCATGAGGAAAAAGACAGAGGGGGCAGAACTCTGCACGCTGCCCAAAGAAAGCTACATGAGGGAAGCAGGTGGGGTGTAAAGATATTAACGGAGAGACTTCTTCCTGGGGATCTAGAAAGCCACCTCAGCTACCACTTTTCACCTGTAATTGGAGGAGATCTGTGCCGTAACGAGAGCAGTAGCAAGGAGCCAACGGAGGCCATGAACCAGTCGGGTATTTTCTGCGAAAGACTCAGCAAGAGAGAAGAGGGAGGCGAAGCCAAGGCCACCTAGTACGGCCACCACAGCATTGCTCTGCATCCAGAACCGCTCCACCTGCGGAAGAAGGTACAGCGTTTCACCACTTCTGAGGGGAAGACACGGTCGCGTGGACCTTTATCGGTTTCAGCTTCGGGGCACCCCATCGGTCTGAGTCAGTTTGGAGAGCCCGGAGGTGGCATGCAATGCTTGGCATCTACCGTTTAAAGGGTCAAATTAGACAATATCAATATCGACTGAAGGAATTTATCCCCGCTGATTAATGTGAAGCACTACTCTGGGTGGTTAACAAGACAGATTAAAATGTGACAGTAACAAAGGAAATTTAATAAAAGAACATACAAGTCAACAAAACATAGAAAATGAATCTGTCAATATGGCCTGATGGGAAAAGGCTTTATGAGCTGAAATATTGTCTGATCATCATAACACATAGTCTCTCTTGCCTCTGGACTTTCTAAATTAGTTTTCCTCCTTTTGGGACTAGTAATCAGGAAGGAAACCCAGGCGTCACTAATTTGAATTCATATACGAAGTGCCCGGCACAGGTGGCCAGCCTGATGACCCCACCGGGCTACTGAATACACAACCCTTGTGGCCGGCTCAGACGGGAGAATCGTCCTCCTGCCCCCTCGCCAGAGTGGCCGGGTGAGCAAGGAGGCGGGGCTGAGGCAGCCAAAGTACTGCCATGATTGGGGCAAAGGAGATGATGCTGGCCATGCACTCTGCGCATTAAGTGTTCCAGCAAAGGTCTGGGGGTGGGAGGTCATCAGGGCACCTGTGCCAGAGGGGTGGTGCGCTTCGTATGCATATACGAAACCCCCATCTCTAGTCGCAGACCACGTCACTGGAACACTAATGTGGCTTCAGCTTCTAAAGGATGTGCTGTTTTGGGTCATCTAGTTTGATCCCCAGGTAATGAAATCATTTTATTTGGGCGGGGCTCATGTTATGGAGACTTTTTAAACTTGACATAGCTTTATGTCTCAGCTGATATTAATCACAGGCTGTCAAAATGTTTCAGAAAGTTACTTTTTGGATTACAGTTCATTGAATTCCCCATGACCTGAAGAATTCTAAGAATAGTTAGCTGCATGAGAGTTTGTTTGTTTGTTTGTTTGTTTATTTATATTTATTTAACTTATATGCCACCCACACTACCCTAAGATCTCGGGGCGGCTTACAACATTTAAAATGCAATTAAAAAGCAAAATAATTAAAATGCAATCAAAAATATATACTCTAAAAATTGCCATCGGACCCACAGCTGATATTATTTCAATTAAAAGCCTTCTAGAACAGGAAGGTTTTGACCTGGCACCAAAATGTCATCAACATCGGCACCAGACGAATCTCAGTCCAGAGGGCATTCCATAGTCTGGGGCAGCTGCCGAAAAGGTCCTTTCTCTACAAGCCCTCCCTCTTATCTCCTTAAGGGATGGCTCTTTCAAAAGGGCCCCCTGGCTAGATCTTAACTGCCGGGTAGG